TCCATAGTATGAAAAAAATACTGTGGAATCCAAAGACTCCAGTCAACTGTATGGTCACCAACATTCTTCAAAATATCTTCTTTTGTGTTCAACAAAAGAAAGAAACTCATACACGTTCAGAACAGCATGAGGGTGAGAAAATGATGACAGAATTTTCATTTTTGGATAAACTATCCCTTTAACTAAAATGGAATTATGGAGGTTTGATGACATACCATCTGAAAAGCTTCCTGTTCAGAGGAACAAAACTTCAGGCACTCATCAATGAAGATGTTTAGGTAACGCTGGCGGACATTAGTGGGCACCTTGGCCCCAAATTCTGTAGGAATGACAGGACGCTTCATGGCAGAGCTCTGTTATGGGCAAAAAAGAGAGAAAGTTAATTGAGGACATGCAAATAGACCGTTATATGTCTGTTACAGGGTGACGTCACCTTCATGGTGGGGGTGTGAGCCACTCTTTTCTGCACTGTAGTGAATGTGGTCTTTGACAGGATGCCCACCGATGTATGAACTTTGAGTGAAAGCTGATCTGCCGCCACTCTGGTGGGTGACAACACCCGACTGCTGGCATCAGCTAGTCCTACAAAAAAAATAACACTCAAAGATAAATGTGTTTTTAACTCCTAATACTTAATCCTGCTGGAACTGAATGTAGGACCCCTCATACCAGGCTTTAAGGAGGGCAAGGAGGCATTTGGCCGGTGCGCAACCCGTCGTTTCTCTCCAGAGAGCCCCTGTTTTGGGTTGGTTGATGCAGATGCAGCTTTTACTGCAGCAGCCAGCTGTGCCGCCTGCTGCTGGGCTTTCTGCATGCGTTGGTAACAGATCTCCTGCGCTGTCATCCTCCGCTGCAGCATTGGCACAGCGTTCAGCGTCGTCTCTGACTGAATGAAGAGAATTATTAAAGCAATTATTAAACAGATGTTCTACTGCAATTTCTGAACACAGGTACGGATTCTATACTAATAGTATAGTATATGTTTTGAACCTTATTTAGGTGAACTTGCATTTTTCCTCCTGACTTTTTATTCTAATTGGAATCTTGATTATTTTAAGCACTTTAAAAAAAAGTGTTGTAAAAGTAGTGACACTTCCTTGTCTGCATTTTTCAGTACAACAGCTCAGCTATTTTCAAAACGGAGAAGCTCATTCCAGTAATGACCTACTTTTTCAGTAACAGCCATTTTTTTCCACATCATATTAATACTGGTAATTCACATTATGGCCTTTTAATGTTTGTTGGTAGTATTTTGTGTAAAATGATTTAGAAAATGATTTTCTAATGCTCTTTAAGTTTTTGTGCCAGATAAATAATAACAATAATATGTAATAATATGTAACATAAATACAATATCATGTAATACATATAGGAAAACTACATATATAGATATATACATATAAATATAGGAAAGCATACTATATAGAAAAGGAAAACTACAATATAAAATATATAAGTTAGTAAGTTTTTTTAAATGTTTTTGAAAGTCTCTTATGCTTACCAAGGCTGCATTTATTTGCTCAAAAATACAAAAAAGTAATAATGTGATAAAAAGTAATATTGTGAAATATTAATAAAAAAAAATTTTTTTTAACTTTTTTTTTGTTGCAAAATATTTTAAAATGTAATTTATTTAAAATGTTAAAATGTAATTTATTTAAAAAATCATTCTAATTTGCTGATTTGGTGCTTAAGAAACATTTCCTATTACAATTAATGTTAAAAGGTTGTGCTCCTTAACATTATACATGTCTTTACTGTCTCTGTGACCAATTTAATGAGCCCTTGCTGAATAAAAGTATTAATTTCTTTTTACACCAAACTTTTGAACAGTATTAATATATATCTCAGTGGATAAATTGCTACAGATTCTGTCTTGACTTGCTTATGGTCTAACTGTTGCACACCAAATACAGCTAATATGCAAATATGCAAATATGAAGTGCAGGGAACCAACAACAGAGAGACATGTCAGAACAAGCATTCCAACACTAACCTTTCCTTGAGATTTAAAATGTGACACCCTCTTCTTCTGGCCAGGAAAGAGAGTAGTTAAAGTGCTTTCTGTTTCTTCCTCCTCCCCCTCCTCCAGTTCCGTTGAAGGCTAAAAACACACATGAAAGTGAAACTGAAATTTCAGTTGCAACAGAAAACCCAGAAAATCCACCAACAGAAAAAAAATTGCATAGCATCCTCAAAACCCCATAAAGGCATTTTAGAGCAACCAAAATGACTGAAGTGATTATCAAATCTAGAGAAATAAATAAAAACTCTGTGTGGTACCTGCTTAGCTTGTCTCCCTTTGTCTTCCGTCTTCACCTCTTTGGATTCGTTAAATATCCGCAGACACTCCTCCATCGGGTCCGAGTCATACTCCATCTCATCCTGCAGACAGGAGTAGTCCACTGCTTCACCACCATCATCATCATCATCATCATCCACTTCAAAATTATCTTCCGATGATGATGCATCTTCAGAAGTTTTCCTTTTATTATTCATGATACTTCCCCGTTTAAAAGCAGAGGCCGACTTCCTCACTATCCTCTCGTCTTCCTCATCATCCTCTTCAGCACTCTCAGCACCGAACAAGTCTATGTGGCTCAGATTCCTCTGTTTGGTCTCACTTGCCTTTTTGTGATCAAGGACTAAGCTCTTTTTTTTGCTTTTATCTTTAGTGCTGTTGCTGCTGCTCCCATGGCTGCTTTTCTTTTTGCCCTTCTCCTTTGTGCTGCTCTCAAGTTTTCCGTTCATCTGGTCTTTGAATTTGGACAGCACTTTATCGGTTTTCACAGGCTTGTCCATTTTGGGCTTCTTGATGTTGCCACTCCCTCTATCTTTTTCCTTGTGGCTATGTTCACTCTTTATCTTAACCATCTTCTTGTTCTTTTCATCAGTACTTTTTGACTCAGATCCGTCTTTCCGCACCTTTTCCTTGGACTTACTGATTCTGTCCTCATTCTTACTTTGGTTCTTGTCTTTTTTACTTGAATTCTTCGACGTCTTGTCGGCACTTGAACTTTCCTGCCTTTCTTTTTGACTTTTCTTACTGGATTCCTTCTCTTTTTTCAGTTTATCAGATTTTATATTTTTCGACTGACTCACAGGCGTCTTTTTGTCTATCTTTTTGTTTGTCCTGTCCACATCATCCGATCCGCTCTGTGAGAAAACCTCATCAGTTTTAGACACCCGATTTACTTGCTGTCCCATCGCACCTGACTCTCGTTCCTTTTTCAAGCTGATGTTGATCCCCTTGCGCTGCATTCGACTAATGGATGTTGGACGATACTCTGTCCCAGAACTTTCCTCATCGGATTCAGAGAAACTTGCAGTGTACTTCGGGACATCTGCTTTAGGAGACCATGACCTTGGTTTCTTTGCCGTTGGAACATATTCCTCATCTTCCCCTTGTTTTTCAGGGTAAACCCTCTTTCTCCCCTCTCCCTCTGAACACAAGGTCTTTTGTTCTTTAACAGCCAGCTTAGCCGAATAATTCGAGAGAGGGTCATACTCCATGTCCGTGGTTGGTTTGGAATTATCCAGAGTGTATTTACACTTTACACGGGACGGTGGCGGAGGTAACACCTTTTTAATGCTTGTTTTGGAGACAGCAGTGGGCACATATTCCAGTGCATTGGTACTGCTGTTGTCTGAGTCTAAAGTGTATTTGCTGGAGCGAGGGGACGGGGTGTATTCACTCGCTTGGCCCATTTTATAGCTCCCAGGATCATAGCCCTGATGGGATGATGCAGTGGGTTTTGGTCTCTTAACAGAGTTTGTGGTCGGCTCATATTCCTGATCGCCGATCTGAGAAAGCTTCTTCTTGTCCCTTTCCATCTCATTGCGAACAGCCTCAATGGCCTGATTGACCAACTCCAGCTCCACAGTACCCAGGTCCACATCCTGTCCCGCCAACAGGCTCGATGGTGGCTCCACATTATAATGTTCACCTGGTCTTACAACCTCTGGACTGAATGGATCATATCCTTGATCTGTAAACAAGTCACAAAAATCAAACACAGAATCAAAACAATATATAATGCATCCTATATATACACACATATGCAGTTAATTGCAGAAATAATTTCATAAAACAAAAACAAACATTTCCCAGTTACTACCTATTCTTGAGGCATCAAAGGTTTTTCCGACAACAGTAAAAGCTATAGAAACGGTTTATTTTTAATACATAAATTGGACTGTCTGACATATGACAGCACTATTCTGGAGTTGTTTTGTGTCTTTTGTGCATTTAAATGTACATGAACCCGAAGCGTACTTGAACAAAAGGAAAACATGACGCCATAAAAACATTTTAATTCACCGTTTGGACTCGCAGAAAGCGCTTTAGTCTTTTTGATGTCGTATATCCCAGAGGAGGCTCGTCTTTGTTTGCTGTGTCTGAAGTGACAGTAGGGTCTGCTGCACCCATCTGCACCGGCTTTTCCACTATTATTCTCAGAATAAAACGGACAGTTAATCCCACGGAAAAACCCCGTAGACCTCAACATCGCGGTTCATAACCAGTGTCACTTTGTATGCCTTTTAACTGGTATGTTTTTGCCACTGCATGCGTGGTTATTTGCATATCCGTATGTTGCCACTTTCTTACGAACAACAACAGACTTCCTAAGACGCCATATTTTATGAGCGACAGACGAGCCCAAGGCCCCCAGCGCACGTCGCGCTCTCTACGTAATATAGTTGACCGAATCATCCGCCTGTAAGAATTAGCGTGCTATCTGCGCCGCGCTTGTGCAATCGAGCAGCTGCTTTATTTTAAAGTAGTTTATCTTAAAACATGTTAATACGTTGCTCTAGGCTGTATTTGCAAGCATTTGGCATCTTTTTTTTTATTTTTTTAAATAAACTATTTGAGTTTTTGTGATTTAAGCTGAAGGTTTATAAACGTGGCGGAGTATCAATGCGACTTTATAGGTCAAGAGAGTGTAAAGGAGTGCACACATTGAGAAGTATTCATAACAACTGACACGACACATAACATGCTTTATTTTAGAAATCGAAAATGGCATTCAGTTTATTCATCCCTGGTGGAGCTTCTGGCTGCAGCAAGCTGGGCGAGGGAAAAGGGAACTGGTGTATTTTGTAAGCAAAGTAATAGATCCCCTAGAGTGGATAATAGTAATTACTCCAAATGACAACTGCATGATCCAGAAGCCTTACAAATGGCCGACTGTAAGTTTACAACTCGATTGACAAATACTCAGCGTTGTCTTTCTTCCACATACACAGAAGAACGAAAATGTTCTTCTGTATACTTTTGAGTATACAAAATTCACAGAACTTCTACATACTTTGAGACGTTAAACTGGTTGGCAAGTTGCAACATGACCAGCCATTTAAAAGCAACCAGACAAAGCCAGGGGACCATCCAAGGCCAATAAACCTTAGCCTGGTCAAAGTAGGTTTTTTTTTTTCAGCAGGGTAATAGGTGTGTGTGTGCGTGTGTGGGGGGGGGTTGTGTTACAAAGTTTACAAATTACAGTTGTTAGCAATTTAAGTGAAACCCTCACCTTATACATACAAATACACATGTGCAAGTGAGCCCAGTAACAAAAGCAATTTGTCCAGTGTGACCATAAACACCCCTCATTCAGACACTAGCAAACACAGAAATGAAACTCTAAACCTACTTACAATGCTTTTGATCTGACTTTTATAAAGGTGCACACACCTGAATGCAATCTCAACTTTTAATTAGCAGGACATCTTAGCCTATTAGAAACAGGGTGTAATTTCAATTCAGTTGAAATCCTGATTTATCATTGGCAAATTATACAAATTTTAAAACACATCTTAAGTAACAGGTTAAAGGGATAGTTCACCCAAACATGAAAATTTGATGTTTATCTGCTTACCCCCAGGGCATCCAAGATGTTTGTTACCATTGCCATGCATTATACGACTGATAAACTGCAACGGCTGGACTTAAAAATCATAATTTGTGTTCTACTGAAGAAACAAAGTCACCTACATCTTGGATGCCCTGGGGGTAAGCAGATAAACATCAAATTTTAATTTTTGGGTGAACTATCCCTTTAATTACCACTAAACAGTCTCCAGTATCCAATGAGAGAGCATTGGTCATCAGCGAAAGAAAGTGCTCACTGCTCATCTAACACTAGAGGGAGGCATACCATAGCAAGAATTATGAAGAGGTATGAACCTGTTATCAAAGTGCAAAACATGAGAGCCTGAATTTGGGTTATTTTTATAATAATAATAATAATTCCACATCAAACATTTAACCTAAAATCTTGATATAGAAAATTATTTTATTTCAGTTATTTTTCAAATATCCATTCTAGTACTTTTATAAATATGCTATAAGTTCTGCTAATATCAATAATGTTAATATATACAAGCAAAATTATAATGGCCCTCAATTTATGCACGCTCACACTTGTGAATCTGAGGACACAGCAGTGTGATCCAGTTTCATGTTCATGTTTCATGACAGTTCATGTCCAACCCACACTTTTACAGTGGGCTGCTACGCTGCTTAGATCTTCATGGCAGCCGTGGGCTGGCTAACTTTTACAGTGTTTGCACTAGACTCTGTAATGTAGTCGGCCCTGGAAAGTTCAAGTGAAAAATCAGCACTTCTCTAGTGCAGCTCTAGCCTGTTGACTTAGTAAGGTGATGCGCCATGTGACTCATGCTCAGGTGACAGCGACATGTGTGATTATGTCAACAGGATCAGTCACTTTGAGAACCTGTTCTAAGAGATTGATCTTTATTAGAAGGGTCATGTTTGCAGTATCAGCATGTGATATGAGGCTCGTGATTCTGTGTGAACACAGGCAGAGGTTGAGATTGATAAAGTTCAACTTTACAGAAACACTGAAGACAAAACAAGAACACTGTTCAAAGCATTTTATTGCGTTTTTGTTGGTTTGGTTTCTACAAAACGATACAAAATTCTGTCACAACAGTCATAAATTTAGCTTTGTGTGAACTGCAGTCAGCCACATTGTACAGTAAAGTGCTTTTTATTAAATCAATACCGGTTGCCCTAAATGTGACCCCATTTCAGATTTCCCCCCCAATTATTATTTTGGAAAAAGTTTGGAATTTGGAAATGGACAAACAGTGCTCTTAATAAGTGTTGCTGACAACACCCCCAAAACAATAGCCTTCGGACTAAAGGGTCACATTAGAGAGAGATATATATTATATTATATTATATATTTA